TTCTGTGAAATCTCCTTTAAAATCTCTTTAAAACTTTGCTACCAAAAGGTTTGCCTATGGTGCCTGGAGGTGTTGCTTATGGCAGTACAAGCATTGACAGCAATCCTCCTCCGGAGAGCCTTTTCCTTGGAAAATGCCCTTAACCTCACTGTGCTGACAGCTCCTAGAGTTGCCACTCAGATATGTTCCCCATCACTCTACTGCTCCCAGAGTGAGCCAAAATCCAGACACCACCACCATGATACTGAGGGAACAATGCAGTGAAACACTGGGGTGGGTTAGGAGGACCTTTGGCATGGAGACACCCTGCAGGAGCTGGCACCTGCTGGAGCAGGGGGTTCTAGAGACCCGGGGTGATGGCAGCTGGTGCCACCCAGAATGGGTGGGAGCTGTGCACAGGTGAGCCTGTCCTGAACAGGGCAGTGCCAGGAGCCCCTCACCTGCCCAGAGGAGCTGCAGTGGAGGTGGCACCTCCCCATCAGCGTCTCCTGCACTACCAGCAGGACTAGGTGCCCTCAGTGCTCACCTCCTCCTGTGGCCAGGAACGAGGAGTGCCAAAAGCAATCAGTGATCAAAAGAGAAGGAAGAGAAAGAAACATGACTGACCACCATGTATATTAAGGAATTTTTTTCTTGCTGTTCAGAGAACCACCAGGTTAATACAGAAAGGCACAGAGTTTATTTCTGACCCATTTCCATGTCATAAGATATAATAATTGTGTGCAGTTAAGTCACGCTGAAGCCAGACGTGGTCACTGAGGCAGCTGGGCGCTCGCTGCAGCAGGAGGAGGAGGCCAGTGGAGCAGGGAGGGCTTGGGGCCCATCACCAGGCCTGCCCTTATCTCAGCTGTCACTGTGAACTCTTCAACCCTCACGCTGAAGGGCTGAATATGTTCAACAGTTTCACGTTTGTCCTCTCTGTCATGGACTGTCTCCTTCAAAAACTCTGACTGCACAGGGCCGCGGCCAAGCTGGAACCCCACTGTCCCCCAGGAGGGCAGCGGGTGCCCTCCATCCCCGGGGAGCTCTGGGTGGGCAGCGGGTGCCCTCCATCCCCTGGAGCTCTGGGCCAGCTGCAGGGCAGTGCTGACACAGGCTGGATTGGCCACGGGACTCAGCAGACACTGAGCATGTTTGCCAAAGGATTAAGCAAGGTAAGCCTCTGGGTTTCTCCAACCCCTGTTCAGGGGGCCCCGGTCCCTTCACCCTTCTCTGTCTGTGGGGTATTTAAAGGTTATATTTTTTAAGGCCCTGGTCCCCCAGGAGCACACCATGGGCTGGCTGACCATGCTGTGGTCACCACGGTGCCACGGTGCCCGACCCACGCTCCCCCCAGAGCCCCCCGTGATGCTGCTCTGGGCAGCGTGCGCGGGGCAGGCGCGGCCGTGCTGGCGTCTGGTGTCTGCTCAGCTTTACTGAGCTATTTAAACTTAGCAAAGTGGCTTTTTTTAGGTCCATATGCATAGATCAGGTGGTCACCTGTGGCAATATGTTCATTCACAGATCCTAGCTGCTTTCAGGGACTGGCCTGAAAGCCAGTCTCTAAACATAATTAGGGCTATTTAAATAGCTGCTCACAATTACCTCTCGGTTCACACAAAATGCCATGAACTCCCTCATTGAGCAATAACTCCGGGCAACACAAGGGTGAAAAGCCACAGGGACCTTGCTGCTGAATGCCTCAAAGATTTGTACGATCCTGCTGTAAATGGATGTTTACTTTCAAAGAGCTGCCACCACGTCTGCTGTGCCATTATGTCAGTTTTCAGACCAGCAGCTTTACCAGGCACACAGACAGTTGTTCCCACCCGTCAGTCTCCCTTGTCCTTGCCCATAGTAATTAGGCTGGAGGCAGATGTAGCAAAGCCTGATTCAGGGATGGATGTGAGCAGAAGTTCTTCAGCTTTTGTCCTTCTGCCCACCCTAAATAATTTAATTTCTGGGATTCCATCACCCCGAATGTGTCTGTGAGAGCGTCAGTGAGCAGAGCCAGGCCCCAGGCCCGGCCCCAGTGGGTGCTGAGCCATCGGGTCATCTGGAACACACGTCTCATTTTCAGCACAGTGCAATTTTCTCCCCAGCAATGATATTATCTTTGCCATCGGCTCCTGGCACGCAGCGGCTCACACGCACCATTAGCAGGTGGCAGAAGACATACACAGAATTTGCTCTCAGAACATTTCTTCCATTCTTCCTCCCAGACTGATGAAGTGCAAGTTAAAGCTAAAGGCATGTACTGACTACAGCCCATTCCCAAACAGGGCCACGGAGAGTTAAACATGGGCTCTGGGAGAAAACTCTCAAATCTTCCAGTCTCTCTGCCATGGTTCAGTTCCTCAGCACGCGGCCCTGGAATGTGGGGAGTGCAATTCCGCGCGGCCGCACTCCCGGTGCCTCGGTCCAGCTCCTTTGGGATCAGCTGGCAACAAGCAGCAGGGAGGCAGAGACGTCGGTGCAGTCTCTGCAGGGTGCCCATCCATGGCCCCAGCAAGCTGCTGGCAGCTTGGCAGAGCTCTGGGCACTGGTGTAGACCAAGATGAACACAGGAATTTACTATTGAAGCCAGACAGCTGTGTGCACCTGGGCACACCTGCCACTGGAAAACTGCACAGTAGAGGCACTTTTGTGCCAACCATGGAATTAATTTCCTTAGAAAAATATTTTGCCTGAAGCCCACTAAAGAATGCAGCCCCAGATAACTCACTTGTTTTGGTCAGGGTTGAGCTGAAGCTCCGCAGCAGGGCATGGCCAGCCCCCGGCGTGAGCACTGCTGGCTGCACAGGCAAGGGATGTCCTGTGCCTGGCAACACAGGGCAGAAGGAAAGGAAAGGCACTGGGACAAATGGGGTTTGTTACAGTTTTGTTGTACAGGGGGGAAAAAAGAATTTGTCATCTGTCTAAGAAAGCAAACTATGTTGGATGCTACATTTCCTACCTAACTCCATGGAACAGCTTCTGTTGAGTGCTGTCAACACCTCAGAGCTCTCTTATGTTTCTTTCTTTTGAAATTCAAAGTCAAAAGAAAGTCAGCTACTTTGAGTTGGCTGTATCTATTTGCCCTTTCCTTCCCTTGAAGCAAACACAATCAGTAAAATTCCCTGGCATAATTCTCTCCTTCTCACAGTTCTTTCCTCCATTGCCCTCCTCCATATAATCAGACCCTTTTTCACACATGGGTGAACCTAGAAAATCATTTAGAGTGGGAACCATGTGAACCACTTCAGTGAACATCAGGTAATTGTGTCTTAGAGGCCTTTAGGAAGGTCAAATATTTCTGTGTAATTTTTCCAGCTACTTTCTCCATGAACTGAAGCCCACTGGCTCTGGGCAAAGAATAAAGTGGCTTTGTACGAGCCTCCAACTCCCCGTCCCCATGGATCACCCACCCCAAATCTCTGCATGATTCCTTCCATGTTTTCTTTCCAAGACACCCACCTCCATGTCACCTGCTTGTGCAAGGTTTGTACTGCTCACCCTTGGCCTGGGAACAGCTGAGGTTTCCAAAATATGCACTTTTCCAAAAAAAAAAAAACCCTGACTTTTCACTTGCATCAGGATATGAAAAACAACTTGAAAATCATGAGACACACAGACAGACACACAGACAGACACACAGACAGACACACAGACAGACCACTGGAGTGCTGAACTTGCCTGTCTGTGGTTGCTCCCGGTGTGTTTCTCCAATGCCAAGTGTTCCAGATGAGCTGCAGTTTTCCCTTTCTAGCATCATAAATTTGGGTATTACTTCTAACAAAACAATAAACTTTGTGATAATAAACAAGAAACTAAAATATTAATTTAAATGAACTGACAAGTGTTACAGCCACAAGATGGTCGTATAATCCCAACTTTCATTCAAAACTAAACAAAGAACATCAAACAATATTAAATAAACTTTATGTTCTTCTTTAATAATGCAATTTCAACTAGAGAAGTAAATAAATTTGGTTTATACTAGGAACGGAATCACAGAGGGACTTCTCCAGATAAAATTTCTATTTTAGGAGATTTTTAAATTTCAGAAACTATTCTTGTTTTCTGAAAAACAACCCAGAATGGAGAACAGAACAATGCCACTTAGGCTGTCTGTTAATTAAAGCAAAGGCTTTTTTCAAATGCAAACCTGGCAAACAAGGCCCCGGTTTGTCCTCTTGGGAATGGAGACCAGTCAATAACAGTGTGGTGAGTTCCCAATCCCAGATTCCTTACTGCTGCTCCAGACACTCCCCAGCTTCTTTCAAGTTTGCCTGCACAGGGTTCTGTTCTGAGGCTGCGTGAGCATCCCAGGGCTGCGCCACAGCCACGGCACAGAACTGACAGGGCTGTGGTCAGACACACGTGCAGAGTGGTGCGTAAGGGGACACGAGCAGCTGGGATTTTAATTAAGGAAAATATAAAAAGTGACAGATCTATTTGAGAAAGAGATTGTTGTGCAATGCTGGTGCATCTGTGCCAATCCCCAGAGCTGCACCCTCAGCAGAGCCCAGCGCTGTGCCTGGTGCCAGCACTGCCCACCAAGAGCTCAGTGGGGCATCCCACGGTGCCCTGCCCTGCTGGACACAAATCCCTGCGGGCTCCATCCCCAGGGGGGCTCTGGGATGTGGCCCCCTCATCCTCCCACCACTCCTCCAGCACAGCAGCACACGAGCCTCGCACCAACCTGCTGTGCTGCCTTGGAGCTCCCCAGCCCCACACAGCCCCACTCCCTGCTCCGGGCTCACTGTGCCCAGCAGTGAGGAACAGAAATAATGACACTTTCTGATGTGCTGCTCCTTTCTGCACAGTTAAAGACCCACTGTCTGACATATTGTACTTGCTTCTCCTTGTGCCTGCTTTGATTCCTTGATGCAAGTCAAGATCCACTCGAACTGCAAGTATCTTGTGTTTGGAAGGAAATACTTCATAACCTGCATGCGGAGATCTACTTTGAATAAATATGAAATTCTATAATTAGAAAAAAACACAGACCAAACCATTCCACTCACACTACAAGCACATAGTTTGTCCCCATTTATTGCAGTCTAAAGCTATAAAATACAGGGTATAACAACATTTATAGAATATGTACATAGCACTTGTTACAGTGTCCTTTAAAGTCAGCTACGTGTCATAACCTCTGACTACTGTGTGTAGTTGCAAACTGTAGGAAATAACACAATTTGAAAAATGCTGGGAATAAGACAGTCTGGATCAGCACTGTCTAAAGAATGGTCTTGAGACACCAGATCTCAGCCCACACCCCTCCCTCCCTCCCCCAAGATACATCAATTTTGTACTTTCCTTGGCAGTCTGGGGTCACAACACAGCCTCAGCTGGGAGAGGCCCAGGGGCATCTCTGCCAGGCTGCAGGGAGAGGAGTGAAAACCCTTGGGGGACCCTGGGACTGGGGTGGCTCTGGCATTCAGCAGGGATGGACCTCTCCCGCTCCCTCTGGGAATCCTGAACTGGCACCATCTGGCAAACATGTGTTCCCTGTACAAGTGTGGATATCTTTAATGAATGACACGTTGATTTCTCCATTTGGGGCAGATGCCAGGAGTCCTCTTTAATATCAGCAATGTTTAATTCATGATTTTGGCTGCTCTGCATGGAAAGAGCACAAAGGAACAGGCTCCAGTGGGAGAGCAGCAGCAGATCCCCCAGAACGATGGCTGACCAGAGACTCAGCTCAGACTGGAAAGAGAGAGTATTAATTAGGATTAAAGGGAAGTAACGGGCTTAGTATAATATGACAGCTGTGCCAGAGAATGCTACATTTTCTATCTGCAATCCCTACTGTCAAATCTCTGTGTTATATTTTGGGTATTGGCCAAATCACACTGGCTGCAGAATCCCCCCCCATTTCTGGAAGTCACTGCAGAGGGGTAGAATTGTCTATATTGAGCCCATCAAATCCCCATTTAATCTTCACTCCCTCTTTGTTTCAGTACCTGTTGACAACTTTCACCTGGTGTGTCCCACAGTGGGTTGGACGCTGAAGAATGCAGCCCAGGCCCTGCTTTCCCCAGAAGGATTAATGGCTGGGCCTGTGGTTTGTTTTCCATTTAATTCCTTCTTCCTTTCCTCACGTGTGGGTTTCCTTATAATACAGGCTATAAAAATAACTCCAACTAGAAAACAGCAGACCTGAAAGGGAAAGGAAATAATAAATCAAATGGAAGAAGGTAGAAAAGAAGGGAAGGGGTAACATTTGTAGTGCACTTTGCCTAGAATTTCAGTCACATCTGTGTTTGCTTGAGGTTAGGAAGGTACATTTGAAAAAGAAAGCAACGGGTTTGTGGATGACAGAGCCAAACCACAGCAGCCCCGCTGCCAGACTCGGACAGAGCTGTCCTCGTGGTACCATGGAGCCACCTCACCTCCCAGGGAGCAGGGGGGCTCCCCACCTTCCCCAGAGCACCCCCGGGACACTCCTCCAACAGCACCTTGTGGGCAGCTCGGCCCCGAGGGCTTCGGGAGCCGCCGGCCATGAGAGGGTCCCTCCTGGAATGGTGTTGCCCCACTGGTGTCTGACACACACCACGGGGAGGAAAGCCAGTGGAGGGAGATTGCTGGGAGATCTGGGGCTGACTCGGAGCCCTCTCCTTCCAGGACATGCTGGGAGCAAACCCTGTGGTGTCGCTAACACAGATCAAAGTGATGTTCCCCACTATGGAGGGAAACGTGCCCACTAACCATTAGGGATGCTTTTCTTAAAGCTGGAAAGGTATGAAGAGGAGCACAGGTGAAGAGAAGGGAAGAAATATCTTTGGAAAAACACTTCAGGGCTGGGGGGGATGTGAAATGCCCAAACTCAGCCCTGGTCAGTGCACAGGGGAACAGCACCCTGCAAAGGCAGAGAGAAAAGGTTCAGCAGCACCTCTGAGCAGTGGAAGAGTCGCCCTACCCCTACCAGGGACAGGCAGCAGTACAGGCAGTCAGCTCCTGTCCTCATCCATCTCAACAGAGAGGAAAAGGAAAAAAAGAGACTAGAAAAAAAAAAAAAATCAAGGAAAAGGCACTTTCCTGGGAGCAAGGAGCAGCTGTGGAGCAGGTTTAGGGCTATAGCACAGAGAGTTCCTCTTTCCTTGCAAAGGTGTTTGCAGGTTCTGAGTGTTTTAAACTCCCACTGGACTTAGAAGTCCCCAGTGGTTGAGTGTGACAGTGACAAGTGGCCAAAGCTCCTTGTTTCCTGGTGGCTGAACTCATCCCTTTCCAAAACTGCCCTGGGTAAGGTCTGCAGGGCGCTGGGGGGGATGTGGGCTCTCCCTGCCCGGCCGTGTCCATAAGCAGACAGACCTCTGCCACCTGCCCACACAAGTCCCACATTCCCACAGGGGGTTATTTCAGACTCTCCCTCCCAGAAGAAGGGAGTCCCTGCAGGAGCACACACAGTGGGCAGGAGCACCAGGCACCAGGATGCTCATCCTCCTCAGCCACCTGGTCTTGGGCTCTCATGGGCACACAGGGACCTTGGCATGATCCCTGCAGGGGATGGGCAGAGTGACCCCAGCACCCATCTGTACCAGACAACACAAGGTAGTGAGGGCAGGCAGAGACACGCAGGACAGCAGGGGACACAACAGGGAGGGTGATGAGAGAAATCATCTCAGAGCTGGCGCTAATTTTGTAGAATCTGGCTGTTAAACAAAGAACCACAGTGTTTTTAAAATTCTCAGTGACTTATTAAGTCACTCTCCTGCCAACTGGATTCCTTCAGCTGGCTAGACAATCTGACACCTCCTCTTAGAAAAGAATCCACCAACATGAGCAGCTCAGTGTGACAGCATAAGGAACCACCTCTGAGCTGTGCTCCCCAGGCAAAGCAGGCACTGCAGCTGGGAACAGAGCCCCTTTACGGGATACTTCTGTACAAGTATGGGAAGTGCCTTGACATCCTCTTGCACTGCAAAACCCGGAGCCTCTGGCTGTGCCCATCATACAGGGGTGGTGGGGTATGTGCCTCTCCTCTAACACCCCCAGCTGAACATTCTTGCTTTTCCCTTAGTACCAGCAGCTCATGTTTCAGCGTCCCCTCAGGACACTGAAGGGCCCGGGGACAAAGAGCACCTTTTAAGGCTCTCTCTGTGCCGTATTTCTCGACTCTGATAAACTCCGGCTGACTTACTCTGATCCAAACCTTTTGTGATACCTTTCTGCAAGCAAAGAACTACTTAAGCGCTACCCCTGAGGAAATATCAGCATAATGTTTCACATCTGCCTCATTTTGACACTAATGAAGGCTATTTCTTGTATTATATCATTACAGCGTTTTTTCTGTCAGCAGCAGTTATAATTCTCTTTACTAGTTACTGCAGTTACCACTTGGAATGCATTTGTCTTTGGAAGCAGCAAAACCCTGTGGATATTTTACATGAAAGAAACACTAATGTGATTTTGTCAAACAATACAAAAGGCATTTTGTGGGGTTTTGGATTTGCCCAAGTCCTGAATATTGATATTGCTTGATACTACTGCAGAGTATAGGAGCTATTAACAGCTGTGCCTCGGCACTGGCACTGGCCCCAGCAGGCTGGGCCAAGGTCATGGCTGGCAGCCCCAGACTGCCCGTCAGCACCGCGCTGACCCTGCACTGAACCGCACTCCCACCGCCACACAACATTAATTCTGACGTATCCATGAGAATGAACAATTTTCCAATGACAGAATAGGCTCAGATTGGTGATCCTGGACAGGCAGGCTCCACCCAGGCGACAGTCGACCCTGTTATAGTCGTGTGAGCACCAAGGAACTCGTCAGCCGTTCTTCTGACGTACGACAGGGCCGTAACGGGGCTCTGACTCCACGGCACTGCCACAAAATCCCTGTACTAATGTGTTACTCATTCCAGTGCAGACTCTAAGGCTAACCACAGTAGAGAGAGAAACAGCTGAGGACACAAAACACCAGAATAATTTTAAGCATTCACCACTAAAATACAGTACATATTAAAAATGCTGTCAGCATTTGCGCCAAGGTCCAGAGCATCCCTCCTAGATTTAGGCTTTGTTCTACATTTCATGCTGAGTTCAACAATAAATATTCAATCACAAGAATTTAATTTGAAAGTTCAGCACTTTTTAAGGCCCCTCAAAGAGAATTTAAAATTACTGTCCCAAGCAAAGGGCCTTTCCCAGTACTCAGAGTCTGGAGGGGTCACCACAGAGCCTGCTCATAACAAGTGGGTCATGGGAGAATGAATCCATGAAGAAGCCAAAAAGCCAGAAGATTGAGCTTTGCTGTGGAACTGCTCCAGCTGTTCTCACCCACTGTGGACCCAGTCCAGTCCAGATCAGCCACAGTTCCTCTGGCTCTGGCAGGACCTCTCGTTCATTAGTGCTCCCCAGCACTTCCTCATCAGTTCTATTTGTTCATTACTGCTCCCCAGTCCCAGAAAGCAACAGCACTTCATGTGGCCCACCAAGAGCAGGCACCTGCTTCGAGTGGGACATGGGATGTGGGCACTGCCACAGATGGGATATGGGCATGGGCACCACTGCAGACAGGACATGGGCACTGCTGTGGGTGCGACACGGGCACATGCCCATTGCTTCCTCAGTAATCGTACAGACCTTCAAGACCAGGACTTCTCATCCAAAATAGCAAACCACAAATCCCCACACTTTCCTACAGTAGCTAAATCTGTTCATTATTTATCAGAGCAATATCCTTCAGAATCCAAAAGTCCAGCTCCTCCCTCTCCCACTGCAGAGTTCATGTGACTCCCCCGCATCACTCACCCCACACACGGCCCCGCTCCCAGGGCTGGCACAGCAGGGCTGGCACAGCAGGGCTGGCACAGCAGGGCTGGAGAGCATCCTCAGTCACACAGTGAGTGCATCTGTCTCACAGGTTTGCTGTCCCTGGAAATTGCAGGGCAGGTTGCCAGCTGAAAAGAGAGAAGAAATGAAACTCATTAAACTATTTGAAGTGAGGAATACTTGCGTTTTTAAACACTGATATGTGTGTTATCAGCCAGAGAAGCTCCTGCCTCTTCCAGAACGTGCTGCTGCTGACAAGACCTTAACTTGTCAGCTGGTATATTGCCACTAACACCTGAGACAGCAAACAAGAGCTAATCCTTACACCCTTCTTGTGCTAATGACTGCAAGAGATAACTGGTGTCCCTGGCAAGTGTCCCATTTAATTCAATTAACTCCAGCTAGGCCCTGGTGATGGCACTGGCAGAAAAATCCAGAAGCCAGATCTGGAGTCAGATGGTAAAGCCAAGGCAGTCCCCACCATCCCTTTGTGGCCTGGACCCCATGGATAGAGACCAATCCAGCATCCCCAGCAGCTTCTACAAAAGGGTGTGGAACAACATCATTTTTTTCCTGAAAAATGCTCATCTTTTTTGCTGATAAAATGGAGGCAACTTATTTCTTTGTATATTTTGCGTATTTATGCTGAAACACTGGGTTCTGTGTGTGTTTAAGCAGAGGTTTTCACAGTGTTCCCATCCCCACCCGTGGGTCCGAGCTGGCAGGAAGATCATGTTTCCCCTAACACAAGGCAGATGTCTGCTGGCCAATCTGGGGGCACACAGAGCCTCTGGCCCCTCCTGGGGGAACCCAACACTTGCAGAGATTGAGGTGCCTCAGGTATGAACTGAAACATTCTGATAAACATGAAAAATAAACTAACCACAAAAAATGTAGCTGAAGGAACAACTGGTGTATCTCCTCAGCTGATACAATTTCCAGGTCTGTGTGATAGTAAAAAAAATACTTTCCAAATATTTTCCTTTTCCTTTTGAACATTCTTCTATTGTGAGCTTCAACAGGCAGGAATGTATCTGGCCACTCACATTATTCAGTTAAGAAGTTTTGAAATAGAAAGAGATTTGCAGAGAAGTTTCCTTGGTGGCACTTCTGAAGTGTTAGTCTGGGATAGCAGGCAAAATCCTGAGAAGTCTGTACCTGGCCAACATAAATAGAAAGTGTATTTAAACATGGGAGATTATCCATTCCTTGACAGGGCTGTCATATCTACTCTGTTGTCAATTTTTAGCAGCAGTTTGAAGGTCACTCCAGCACAAATAATGCCAGAAAAGGTTTTTCTGTTGGAAAACAAAGCCTTCAGACTTTCAATAAGGAGCTGTAAGGACTTATAAGTGACCATCGTCTTGGACGTCTCAGAAGCAGCATGAGCCAGTGGAGGTCTCTGAAGCTTCACAAAGTTCTGTTGTCTTTGTGGAAAACCTGTTATGGCATTCCTGTCATCCTCTAGCCTCTGTGCATCCTCCAGGATGGCTGAGAGTGCAACAGGGAAGCCCAGACCATGTCAACAGCTAACATGTCACTATGTTCCCACCTTCAAATGCACTGGAGAACAATTATCTGCAAATAAAGCTCAGCTGCTCTATGCCAGCAACCGGCTTCAAAGTCAGAAAAACCTCTGCTGTGGGTCCACTCACTAACATCAAATACATGTTTAAATAAACTTCTATGTTCTATGGACATTTTTTCCACTCCATAAGTCCGATGGATGGAGGTGCTGAGCTCCTGGCAGGAATTCAACTCCCACATGCTCCCATCTACGTGTTTGGTATCTTCCAGAAAAGAACCAACCTCCCCACTGTGCTCCAAACTCAACTGTGCCCAGGTGTTTCCAGAGGGCCCAAGCTACCCCACTAGGCACCACTTTTACACCAGTTCAAGATCCATGAGGGATAACACGGGGACACCTGTGAGCAGAAGGATGCACAAAATAGTGGCAGTGGGAATTCCTGCCCTCGGCAGTGCCGGTGGCTCTGGGCAGGCTGGGCCTGGAGCACAGCACGGCACAGCCAGGAGAGCAGCCAGCTGCACTGGGACCATGCCAGCAGCAGTGGGACAGAGCTGCCCCTCCTTCCTGGCATGTCCCAGGGACACACAGCAGAGAGCCACAGGAGGCCACTGCCTGAGGGACACCCCAGTCCTTCCTCGCTGCTCACAGGTATGGGACTGGAGCGGCCCATGGCTACGGCACCCTGCCATGAGCAGCTCCCACTTCCCCAACAGGACTGTGCTGAGCTTTATCTTTTGCCAAGTGGGGCATCAGCTCAGGGAAAACTGTGCTGGTGCCTGTGTGGGTCATGGAGTGACAGCAGTGGGACAGCAGTAAAACAAATCATATAAAAACCCCAGGGCCTTTCAAAGCATTTCCAAACACTGGCCTGATTCCCCTGCTGGGTGTCAGGTTCTAGGAACCAACTCCCTGCACAAAGCAGTTGCAGAGACACATCTAAAACCACATCACCTGCTGCACAGAGAGAACTGACAATGGCATTAGCATGAAACTAAAATTAGAGGCTAATTGTGCTCTGCAGTCACTGAAATTGATGACAGTTCAGCAATTAACATCCCTGAATTTTCTTGACTGAAACAATTCTACAATCCACTCCCATTCATGCTTCTTCCTGCTCCACAAGCAGGAGCCCTGCTAGCTTGGCATACCTCACAAACAGAGGGATTCTGGCACCTCTGCCAGGGCTTGTGCTGTTCACAGCGGTTACTGGGGTAGGCACAGATCTGAAGAGATCTTGTGCCTGCAAATCAGCATCATTTCACAAAAATGGGATGTGATATTCAATGCCAGGGCACAGGAACCATCACTAACCATCACCAGTGCATGAACACAAGACACAGCTCTTCAGAAACCATGAGGGGCAGTGGCGTGGCATTACCTGGTCCTTTGTGCAGGTACCTCTGCCGGTGATGTCAGGCTGGTGCTGCTGCTGTTCTGAGCAGAAGGAGATGCCTATGTTAACAAGTCAGGGAGTGAAAGCATCAAATGCTCAACACCAGCTCAGGCTGCCAGAGTGGGACACAAGCCCAGCCTCTAATGAGCACATCTTGCAAGTGAATCAGAACATAAGGTGGGCAACAACACCTGCTCAAAGTCATGTGAACCTTTCCCTTGACCTCCGTGAGATGCACCACACACTTGGGGCAGCAGAAAACAAACCCTATTTAACTGTATGCGTTATTTACAAGTTGAGGGTGTTTTTCTCTAAGATCCAGAATGAGAGACCCAACGTGGTGCCATTACAGCTGCAAGTCAGGGCAATGAAGCAACAATTGCTCTGCCTCTGCCTCAGAGAAATATGCTGCAGACTTGCTGTGCAGGATATGGCTGCGTGCACCTCTTGCAGGCTCTCTATGCACGTATTCGGTGTGTGCCTGTCTGCCTGTGATGAGCACACCTGCTCTGTGCTCACCTGCCCTATGCTAACCTGCAGTTTGTGCAAGAGCTCTACGGTTTCATCTTTAATTCATTGTTCAGTACAACATTTGGAGTTTCTGAGCCATAAATACATCGCCTCATGGTGGTACATTTTGAAAAGCCATGGTATGCTCCCACCTCTACACACAACTGAAGCCTCTGATTGCTGACAGCACTGAGCTTACAAAGCCAGCCTCTCTTCCATCCCTTCCTTCAGCACTTGCCTTGTTTTTGCTCTGGACAGCAATTTTATCTGCAGCCTCTGCTCCAGACGTTGCCCGTGGCCCTTCACAGGAATCTCCCAATTCTGCTGTGACCCATGAGGCAGGAAGGGGCATGGTACAAGGCCTGTTTCTCACCTCAGCTGTGATGGAGACCTGGTCATGGCTGGGCCCTGCCAGTGCAGCTGTGTTGCTCAGTGCCATCCCCACACAGCTCCCTGCAGCCTCTCGCTCCGCTCTCCTCCTTCCTTCTTCCCACACTTGCTGCAGGCACGGAATGTTCCCAGGCTCCCACAGCCATCCCTGGGGCATGCCAAGTCCATATGGTGCTGTCCCGTTCATACATTTCCAAAGGGCCAAAAAATTCACTCTTTGGAGACGCTTCTCTGTGCACAGTCCATTCAGCAGAAGGAACAAACATGGCCAGGATGAACACAAAAATGCGTCATTGCTTAGCAAGATTTCACTTCACACCCAGAGATATCAAGGATATTATTTTGGGGTAAAGTAATATAACCAGTCCTATTTCCAATGTAACATGCCTAACTTTTTCTTAAGTAAAATCCTTTTTTACTCATTTGCTTTAAACTATCAGTTTACCAGGAATAGAAATGTGTATTATACGTATTATACTACACACATTCCATACCTCTATAGTATACTACAGACATCTGTCCCTTCCACCATTTATACCACCGTTTCGGGGTACGATCAGAGCCCTGTGGTTTTATTCTAAAACTCCCCCCTGTAGACTACGAGCAATCAGGTTTCTGAATTCCAAGCCCACGGGTCACGGCTGTCGTTGCCTACCCCAGGCAGCTGACAATGCTGGGGACATCTGCTCCATCCTGGCATTCAGAGGGGACTGTGACATTCTGCTGTTGCTGCCAGTGGGCAGACAGGCTTGGGGGCCTGGAACCCCCCTCTGAGGGCTGCCTGGGTCCACTGGCCTTCAAGCCCAGCTCCATGGATGGATCAAGCTCCATCCTCAAGGAGAATATCATCATGGGGACTGAGGCCTTGCTTGCAGCTGTCTGCAAAATATAGACCCTGACCAGCATGGATTTTAAATACTAGATTTTTTTGGCCAACGCTCCCAACTGATGGTAAGTTCATGTTTCAAGGTAACATCGCAGTCAACAGTGTGACAAATGATTGTGACAAATGATGTGACAAATTTAAATGCCAAGAAAATCCTTCCTTTCATTAAGTCCTGTCTGCAGAGTCCCCACGTGCAGGAAGATGTCCGACAGCTCTGTGGGATGCCAAGATCCTGGGACAAGCAGCATCAAGAACCACACTGAGTGAAAGCTCAGACCTTGGACTAAAAACATCATCTGAGCAGCAGCAATTGCAGCTCATGTCACAACATTCCTGACAGCAACAGCTGAAGATCCCTGTTCCAAAGTGACAGTGTGAAGTTGAACACTTGTACTCATGACTGCAGCGGCCTCATGGGGCTCATCCCTCTCCCTGTCCCCTAACATATGTGAATTATCCTCCCAAATAGCTACTTTTCTGGCAACAATATGCACACCTTTCCAAAAGCAAAGTGGAAATCCTTGCAAGTATTTCTGGTGCTGCTCCCAGTCAGAAATAACAGTAATCTGATCCACGAGCAAATTCCACTTCTGTTGCTGAATTCCTTTGTACAAGTATCTTTGCTTTGAAAATGTTTGGCAACAGTGAGGCACAGGCTAATTTTACTTATAAGGTGTGAATCAAAGAAGATTTGCAAGTTTCTGAGTCACAGAAAGGAAGCATCTGTGGCCTCTCTCAGCACTTCTTTCAAGAGAAAACATTACAGTTCAGCTATTTCAGATGCGACTTCATACGTGCTCACTGCGCCCCATGGATCCCCATCTCCTACCACCCTCGAGCTCTCCCCCAGGCACAGCAATGGGGACAATTCCAGAATCTTCTCCCAGCACCTGGGGAACTTTCAGCCTTATTCAAACCTGCTGTTGTTAGTGGGCTGCATCACCATGGGCAAGGTTTAGGCTGCAGTGTGAGAGAGTTGAATAAATTATTAATTTGGGAGAATCCAGCAGATGCTTTGTGAAAGAAAGGGGTGACCAAGGAAAAGGCAAGCTACTCCTCACATTGCACAGTGCTGAAAGCCCTGGGAAGCTGAGGGACTAAGACACAAACACTGCTGCAACAACAGCAAACTTCCACAGACTGCCTACAGCACGACCCTGATGCCACATAAACGAAGGCCTACAATCAACTGACTCCTGTGCTCCTTCACTGCCGAGAGAGCTCCCAGCTGAGGCCAGGTTGGCCTGAGGATGGGGACAGCTCTGCCACACTGGCTGCAGTAGTCCCGGGGAGCACACGCAGATGTTCAGCTCTGCTTCCTCCAGTTCCAGAGATTTCATGGCCTCAGAGAAGCTGTTCATGGCCACGTTCAGCCAGCAGCTCAGCCACCAGGGTCACTGGCTAAACCCCAACCAAGAGGATTCATTCCCCCAGCGATGGGGTGGGCCAGCCTGTGCCCCAGCGCCCAGCGCCCCGCACGCTCCCAGTACTGGGTGCAAGCACTCCCCTCGCTTTTTATCTCTTCATTAACTGCTCACAGCAGATCTGATCTTCTCCAGCTCTGCAGGGACATGCCAAGGGCACTTTTCAACATGTCATTCATTCCACTGTCACCATTCACTGCTCTCCAACCTCAACAGACCATTTTGCTGCCCTGTCCCAGACTGGGAGCGACAACAACATCTTCTGCCTTAAAACAGGTCCCTAGGGTTTACTGACAACAGGATGCCAGCCTATTGTCAGCATCACAACACAGCAATGTCAGCAAGGGTGGAGGGTCCTCCACCTCCCAGCAGTCTGTGGGATCTGTCCACTGAATATATGGGTGAACTCTCAAAAAAAAAATCTGTATGGGGCCCGCTTATCTGACTTAATTATTTCTGTACATTGCTGCTCTCAGCCTGATCCAGCAGCAACATGGTAGATCACAGCCATTGTCAAACCAAATTCTTCCCTGACAGTTCGTGGAGATGTATATTTGCCATCTGCAACCTATTCCTTGGTTTCTGGCACATATTTTCAGTGCTTTCTTTTGAAAGCTGTTTCAGATTTCTCTGGGCTTCTCTCTAACCTCTGCCAGTGAAGCCTCACACAGTGTAATTGTTGACAGCTGTGTCAGGAGAAGTATTTTACTTCTTTAGTTTCTTTTGCTGTTCCTCTTGCTGCAGCACACCAGCTGCTACACGAAGGGCTGCCTGGCTGTGTAACACACACCAAGATGTGGAAAGCAGACCATGTCTTCTGAGAGGGGGACTTGGGGGGCTTGTGATGTTTATCAGAGATAACTGCAGCTCCACAGGTGAAAACACGGAGAAGTAAGAGGCAGCTGAGCAAACAGGTGTGAACTAGAAGTAGTGGGCTGAATAAAAGTGAATCTCTCCTCCTTTCCAGGAGTTTGCACTTCAGTTTCATGGTAAAGTTAAATCCAGCAAAAAAAAAAAAAAAAGAAAATCACTGCTGATTTTTTTTTTTCCAGGCAAAAGATGGGAAATGCTGGGGACTATACTGTTCTCCCTTTTCTGCCAGACTGAACTCAAATCTGAAACATCTGTTCACATAACTCGAGACAAGCTCTCGCAGTCAAGTAACACAAGCACAAACTCTTTCTGCCATCAGTGCAGAACTATCAGTGAAGCTTTTTGTGGAAGCCTAAGGATCCAGACACTTCTGATGTGCCTTGCAAGCACCGAATAATGTGTTCTCACTACCAGCAGAGGAACATGAGCACCTTTTCCACATATTCTAAATCCTGAAATCTGTTTTTCTAGACTCACACTGTACACATTGTCCTTCAGGAGCTATTCAATCTGGGCAGTACCAGCTATATTTAACAGTATCTCACCCAGCAAACCAAGCAAAAAGCCACAGAACTATGTGTTATCCAGAACTCATCCCTGCTCCAGCAGCCCTCCAAGAACTCTCTGCATTCAACACGTTTTGGAGCATGAACCCCATCCTGTCAGAGAAACGGACTGGAAATCAGGACTCGTTTCCGGTTCTGCTCCCAGTTCTCTCTGTGCACGTACAAGTCACTTTGTTTTCCTGCTGCTTTCTCCAACCCCCTGCCTGCTGTGCCATGATGGCCAAGTGTGGATTGTCTCCAGCTACAGAGCTGTACAGTGTCCCAGGCAGGGAACTAGATTGGATGTGGAGGGCTCTGAAAGCCACAGGGAGAATAAAAAAAAAAAAAAAAAAGTACCTGGAGTTCATGGTACCCAGTAGCTTTTCTGTGCAGCAGAGGAATGTCATCCCGGTTATTTTTGCCTTCTCCCCGCACAGCAGTAGATGGAGCCCTCCTTCCCTGCTCTCAGCAGCCAGGGACACAGCAGTACCACAGATCCCAGCTGAAGTTACTCTGTCAGCACCGGCCAGCGCTGCTGTCGGGACAGACCTGGGGCGTCACACAGGAGGGACCTCGGGCTCATGACTCCTGCCTGCCACCTGAAATTCCCTGAAACCTGTGAATGACAAAGTGTTCGACTAACCACAGCATTGCCTTTCCTTCCATTTAGGCATTGGGTAATGTTTTTCCTTTCTTTTGTAAACTGTCACCAGGATTATATGAAATTCAGGAGGTTTTTTCTTTTGCAAAATAAGGAATGACAAGTTTTGCTTGCTATACTTAGAGAGAACATATATAAAAGTTGTATTGTGGCTGTGAGCACTCTAGACTACATTATCCAGAGGATTTTATGGGAACTAAAGGTCAAGGGATCTGAGGCCAATTTCTCAACTGCTGCTCACAGCCTGTGTGTGACAGCAGGACAGAGGAGGGATGAGGGAACTCTGGCAGCCATATGCCTCTCTGCAAGCTGGGAAAGATTACAAGCATGTATGTTGGTTTTCTCTTCCCCCACACCTCCATGTGCTCCTTCCAGTGACTCCAGTATGGCCCTGCACAGATGCAGGCAACCTTCTGGTCATGCACCACCGTCCAGAACTAGAGGCTGCAGTGCCCTTAAGACAGGTCAGCCAGGTCTTCCACAACAACAGCTGACAAATGGAATACTTCAGAGCAGTGAGAGCAAAATTAGGCTGCTCTCTCCTTTTCTGAGTTTTTGGGGGGGTTGGGTTTTGGTTTTCTTTGGTTGGTTGGTTTGAAAACGTGCCGTACATATCCTGCTTCATCCCGCTGCACATCCAAGCGCAGACTTGACTTTATAGAAGAGCAATCCATGCTGCTGAGGGAAGACTGCCCTCAAAACCAGTGTACAACCTGTTTTTCTCTGGAAACATGTACCACTAGAGAAGCAATATATAAACCCACCTTTTGACTTATTTTAGATTCTTTGAAAAAGACCGTGTTATGCAAGTAGGAAAACCAAGAATATTGTAGAGTTACACGAGATGCTGGAGATGATATTTGCCAGCAAGGTAACTCAATATACATCTATTCTGGCACTCAATAATTAAAGAGAGGCCCCCAGCAGTGAATCACAGGGTGATTTGCTCACAGTAGCAGCTCTTCACATCAGAGAGGGGCCAGGACCTGCAGCCAGGCACCAGCAACCGCACACCTCATCCACACAGTCCAGCTCCAAAAGAGGAGTGGCAGTGCTTTTAGCAGAACTGATGGTTCACTTCTCCAAACAGAAATTACCAGAAGAAGGGAGATTAGACACCTATCCCTGAAGACGAGGGTTTTCTACTGATTAGCCTAGTAATGATTGACTTTCTAGATTCAAGACCTTATCCTGCCTCCGATCCTGCCCAGATATAATGGTCTGTTCAGACAGGATTCATGCCTCAGCCCTAACAGAGTAAAAAATCTAGGTAAGGACTTTGGCATTTGGCCCTTAATGAATAGCAGCCAACATCTGACAAATTAAATAATTCAGAGAAGTGAAAATTAAATAGTCCTGCAGTCACGAGTGTTGGCATATGGAAAGCTGCCACTAAGCTAATAATAGAAGTGTCTACTGCAGCAGAGAGGGAGGTCCCGGCATCCCAGAGCAGCCACACATCTGGGCACTGGGAACACAGCCATTAGCAACCTATGTTTAAGTAGCACATTCTTGCTACCTTCCTGCCAGCTACTCATCTTCTGTTACCACAGGCTGAGGGCAGGAGCCCACAAGCAATAATGTGGCACTGGGGGCAAACGTGAGTTTGGGCTCTGCCCACCAGGCTCCCAGTTTGGCAGACACGCTTCCTGCAGCCAAAGGCACCAAGGAAGTCCCTCACCAGTACCCTGCCTGTCTGGGTACACCTGCTTTATTCATTTCACCAAAAAATGGACAACTAGTTCATTTGTCACACACCTGCATTTGCATATTCTGGACACCACTCACCTTCTCTGGCTCCTTCAGGTATCTTTGAAGAGCATAAAGCCACTTGGGGACAAGACTTCCTGGCTCACTCCAGCCTGTGGTGTGATTTTCTTGTGTGCAGCAGAGCCACGCTGTTTAGGAATGGGAGGAGAATCAGGGCCATGAGGTGGAAGACGAACCAAACACACAGGTATCACTCACAACCAGAGGTGGAGAATGATTTCCAGATGGGTGGGTATGCACCCATTAATGAATGAAAGAGGAAAGTTAATCAGGATGGTGGATGCAGCCAGACAGCAGCCAGGTTACTCACCTTCAGCTGCTTGCAAAAGAGAGCCCAGGCAGGGACGGGAAAACCAAAGGCTGGGGTGTACTAGAGAAGCCTACAGCAGCAAGATTATGTGTGTATTATATGGCCACGGTAAGAGAAGCACATTCACATGAAACACTCATCACCCACATGTGCAGCACTCCTGAAGATGCCAGAGGAGGCCGATTCTCAGCACTTCCCCAAAGAGTGTCCTCCACTCTGTAGCCAGAGAGCTGACAAGAGATAATGGGCACTAAAGAGCAGCAGTGAGATAAAGCACTAAAGAGGGAGATAAAATGCTGGAGAGGAGATATGCAAGAGTGCACAAACACACAGAGGAACAAGCTCTAGTATAAGGAATGGGTAGGCTCTGCCAGCTCCAGCACTGAATCACTGCTTCTCTTCCTGAAGGACCTGCCCCATGTACTTGAGGAGACTTTCAAGGTATCAAGCAGTAGAAAACTTCATTGCTGCTGAGCAAGCTGGATAACACAGGGCAAACTGAGTAGACACAGAGCCACCGTGCTGGTTAAGGATCCATCAGTCTATGAAAGAGCAGCTCGTGCTGGCTAAGGGTGGCTGGGAGAAGACCCTGCTCCCAAGGAAGCAAAAGGAAAGGATCTCCAGGCGGTCTGGTTCTGTATCCACCAACATCTGCTGCAAGGGGTATCTGTTGGCTCAAGAGATGCACCACTGATTTGGGCAACAACTACAGCAGAGATAATTAGGCCATCTTCCCTCCTTGACAATAAAAGAGACCCAAGTGTCTTAGATTCACTAAAGGGGATTTCTGTCCAACTGTCCCTTTCAGAACACCTATGAAAAGAACAGCCTTAAGAGCAATCAGCATCTTATTCTCCAAGTTTGTGAGCCAAACAAACACCTGGTGCATCCGCACAAGCTGCTGTTCAGCCAACCCTGATACTGACTGCCCATAAGAATGGCAAACGCATCCACGGCTCTCCACTGTAGGTGTATGGCCAAGAAAAATCCAGCCCTCTTTGCCTACAATTGTAGCAAGAAAATATAACCTCAAAAAGAACCTGCAAGTTCTTCTATTTAGTATTTCAGTGCTTCCTGGTCAGAGACTGATGGTTCTGCATCTACTAGTTGTCCCAGCAAATATAGCTGCTCTTTTCCACATGTGTAAGGCCTTCAGAAGCAGAATTTAGTTGACTATTTCATCCTTACAGAGACTCCATCCATCAGTACAGCATCCTCTGCCAGTTGAATGAGGTTTATACGTCATGTCTGACTGGCAACATGAGCTTCCAAAAGCCCAGAGCTGCATCAGGTGAGCTTATCTCTGGCCTTTCGCTACCCTCCCTTGGAGCTTTCCTGAGCAGGAGTTTGACTCCTGCAGTGCCCCCATAGGGGACACATGTGGAGGGGGTTTCTTCAGGACGGGGAAAGTTCCTCCACCCGTCAGGAGGAAGGGATGGCTTTTTCCTTGCTCAAGGTATGGACTACTGTGGCCAGGCACGACAGAGAACACTTCTGGAGGTCTGTTCTTTCCTCAGCAGAGGGTGCTGACCACGGCTATAAACAAGATTTTTGGCACCAAGCATGGCATCCTGGCCTTCTCTACCTGTGGCACCTGCATTTCCTCTCCCTTAGGTCCTTTTATGCCATCCTCCTCTGCTGCCATCATGGTCTCTGTGCTCTCCTGTCCCTGCTTTAGCTCGAGCAGGGCACAACAGAGCAAACTGTGAAGGGCAAGAGACAGGAGGAGGGAGTGCCAGGAAGCTTGTGCCCTCTCCCCCCCTTCATCCACTCCTGGGAAAGTGACACTGGACCACGCACAGCCATGGTGTTAATACCACACAGAGCAGCAAGCTCATGAATTAAAATAGCAGGAACTGACAGTACTCACAGGTCTCAGAAAAGAAAGGTGATGTGGAACTGGCTTGTTCATCTTTTCCATGACAGGAAACATTTCAACCCCTGTCACCAGCACAAACACTGTCTGCTCCCATCACGCTTTGCAACTCTCCATACTGCACATCAGGACCACACGAATAAGGAAAGCCAGAGTGTTGCTTTTGCCTTCCCCAGAAAGAGCTCAAAATGCAACAAACCCCAACTCTGTTGTTTTTTGCAGGCTCCAAAGCCTCCAGCTGCTCAGTCTGTTGTGTCACAGCCCATGGATGTATCAGCCTTTAGGTAAAGCAGGCTGGTCACCCAGGGCCAGCTGCTGCAGGGACAGCAGGACAGGTGGCCTGTCCGGGGCCAGGAGCCCTGGGCCAGTGGCAGCTGCAGTGCCAAGGGCAGCTGTCAGCCAGACAAAAATTCTCCATTTCGGATCCAAATCCATTAACAGCTGAGTAAAGAGGAGAGGAGGAGGAAGGACAACCAGCTCTCACAAATATATACACAGCACTGTCTTCAGCTCCCATTTCTCAATTACTTGTCTGCTTTATGGCCATTAGCACAAGAGGAAAAATGGAGGTGAGCTGCAGAAAGCAATCAGTTTGTCTTTCAGCTTCTTATACACACACACTAAACCAGAGTTTGGATCAAGGACACCCCCAGGAAGTGCTGGAAAACACGTTCAAATCTTTGTGAAGAATTGCTTTTACAGGACACAGGTCGTTTTGGAAATCATAAGCAAAGGGTACTGAAGTGTAACAAGTTTTTGTAAGGTCAGCAGAAAATTCCTATGGCATTTCAGACACCCACAATAAATGTTTATAACATTATAATGTTAATTATAAATACCTTAAAGAAGCCTTACTGGAAATCAGAAGTGAATCCTAGGGACTTTGATTTAAATTGGAATCTGGCTGTTTCAGATCTTGCTGCAGAAAGGTCCATAATCCTGAAAACAACAGAAAGGACACAGCAATGAAGTATGTGTAAGAATAAGATCCACTGGGGGAACGAAATAAATCTGATTTAGTGAAACCAGGATGGGATAGAATGTTGGCCTTGGCTTCAGTGATGCTGAGCTGTCCCTCAGATAGGATCTGTAGTAGAGGAGCTGTACTCTAAAATTAGACAATGAATTAAGCTAGATTTTTAAAGGATCAAATTCTTTGTATTCTTCTCATTAAAAACTGACTCAAACAGCCTTGTCTTTAGGGACTGCAGAGTTACTTTTGAGATGTTATGCATTCAGCCAAATCACTACAGTTTGCCTCTTTACTGCAAGTAAAGGTTTTCCAGAGAGAAACAGCATTTGCAGTAACAAGCCATCCCTGGGACCCCAACAGAACAAACTGTAGTTCACTGTAACATGCCAGCTATTCCAGATTTCCTTCTAACCTACAGGAGGTTTCATCAGCTGTAATTTCATGTCATGCAAAAGGTGATTGTCCCTCACACACACAGCACCAGCACAGTGGCCCAGCAGCCCCCAGCTGGGCTCCAGCTTTAAAGGCTGAGTGAGGGCTCCAACCCCAATTGCAGGGTGTCACAGGTATCAGATATTTGTGTGTATAAATGTGGTGCACAATTGCCCTGAAGCTGGTATATATATGTGCACCTCAGAAATATAAAACCAAAAGCTGAGGTTTTATAAAAACTTGGCCATCAAAACAGGAAAGCAGGAAAATATACGGGCAGAAATGTAATTTCAAATGACAACTAATGCGTGTTTGTTTTATGGATATCGGTTATCTACATGGGCCTTAGAAAGCACTCATACACAATAAAGCAGGGATATCCCATGGATTCTTTCCACTCAAAGACAGCTTAAAACAGCAGCTTTGGTGATTTGGCTTCCAGACTTTCTCAGGTTATGATGTAAGGAGACAAAAGGAACCTATGACAGGCATCCTGGTCCCTGCCTCTCCTCCTCTCCGTACTGTCCCTCTCTCCACCAAGAGGTTCCTTTTCTCCCGACTTCCTGTTAATGACATTCCTGGTTTTCCTCCCAGATGGCAAACCTCCATCTCCTGGCTGCAGTTACTTGCAGGAAGCAGCAAGCCTGCTGCTTCGCTCTGCACAGCATTGAAACAAGTGACACAAGACTAAGCTTCACCGTAACCACAAATGCACCACCGAAAAGTGTGGAACCGACCTTGCAGGACACATTGCTTGAAGAAGTCTCAGACCTGAGAGTAAAACACAGAGCACCAGTTTTAAGTGTACATGACATGGTAGATGGAGGCTGTTCATTCCGTGTGCTAGAGGCACATGAACACTGAACCAGTGTTAGACCCAGCATTAGCAGCTGATCGCTGCCACAATGGGAGATATTTATCCTGTAGCACCAGATATTAAAGTCTTTACATAGTGTGCCACCTGCTCAATAAACCCAAGATCAGGAGACACAGGCACACCTGAAGAGATGACAAATAAAGAGACAGAGTTACAAAGACATCTTCAACTCCTATCAGGAGACCTAGACCCAGGATGGAGGCTCAGAAGTGCTCTGTTCTATGTGCCCCCCAATCATCACTTCCACTTCCTCTGAGGGGTTCTCATCTCAGTAACCAGCACCCACTGGAGCGAGTTAGGATCTCTCTTGTCAGGCCATGGCAAAGGCCAGCAGAGAGCACCAAGTCTAAAGCCACAAGCCTGAAGTTATTTGAAGACACAAACACACATGGAAAAACCTCCGGTTTAAAACATGGGTTATAAAAGCCAAGCAGTTGTGCCCAGTACTGTGATCAAATGCCATCCTTATTCCATCAGAGCTTAAAATAGGCTGGGTAAGAAGGCAAACAACTGTAAAAATCCCGAGCTGCTGCCAATGGACACACAGCAGGCAGTGGCACCGTGCTGGCTCTCTTCACTTCCAGCGCCGTGGTGTTTGTCCAAGGAAAGCCTCCATTATGCTTCAGGAACACACTGAGCTGACTGTTGATACAGCCAGCAAGGAACCTCGCTGGCAAACTCCCCACTGTTAAGGCTCCACAGGCCCCATGCTGAAGCCAGCCGGCTCCAGCGCTACAGGGTGAGCGTGGCCAGACCTCCAGAGCACCTTCAGCTAACAGCATGTGGGCAGGAGTGCTCCTATTCCATTTACCCAGTCCATAGGACAAAAGCTAGGCACATGATCCGTGGTCCTCCCAGCTACTCCAAATCCCCTCTGCCAAGCACAGGTATTTCTCACATTTTAGCTGCTGCCTGTATAGGCTTTGTTAGTGCTGGAGGCCGAGGCTTTGTACCAAGCCCCAGGAGTTCAGTACATTCTGTTCAGAGCGCCAAAGGCACTGAATAACCACTTACATTTGCATTTGCCTAAACATAGCCTAAACATACTGCAAGCAAATAGCAGGAACAGGTTTAGCACTCAAGAGGCACAATTAAAAGCAAAAAACACCCATCGATAATTTGGTACTTTTACAAAAAGACCAGAAAAAGCCAATAAGAATCAGAGTAATTGAAATGGTATTTTTGTACTGCAGCAAAACCCAAAGAATATAAAGTTCAAGATGTATGCCAAGAACCTTAAAACCTATTTTTAACCATTTGGTACATTTCATCTATAGATAAGCTGCTAAATACCATTTCTGGGGTTTAGATTTTTTGCTACAAGCATGTGCAATCTCTGTCGCTGTCTGAGCCTGGCTGCTTTGCTCTGCAGCCGCAGCGGGATGGCAGAGGTAGCCAGCCTCCCAGCAGAGCTGCTGCATTATGAATCACATCATGCTCACCAGGGGAATTCGGGCTGGAGTGCCGAGGGTGGGCTCGAGAGAGCCGGGAGGCTCCGGGTGCTATTCCTGGCGGCGCCAGCGATTCGCGTGACCTTGTGCGAGTGACTCAATCCCCGCATGGATCGCCGGGATCACCGCATGGATCGCCTTCCCGGGCTGCCGCTGCCACACCGCAGCGCTGCGAACACCCCGGGGCTTGCCCGCCTTGGTAAGGGGAGGAACAGAATGAGACTGTCTGAAAAAGAAAGGAAATAATGCAGTGCACGAGGGTGCGATCACAACAGCGCTGATTTCAAAGGCAGCTTGGACTGTGTTTGGAACAAAGGCTCTTACCCAAGTGGTAAAAGACAAAGTGTTAAAAAAGAAGCAGCATCCCCTTACAGTTATTTTATCCCTCTGGGCATTGGATGAAGCAGATGTTACTGTAATGGAACGCCTGTGCCTGAGCGCTGCTGTACCTCATGAGACTGAGCCCCACGACGTCCCTGCATGAGGGGAGGGTGAGGAGGGGAGCACTGTTCGGTGTGGAGCTGGTTACAGAACGCTCCCACGGACAGCCCCCGTGGCGGGATCTGTGCTGTGCAGCAGCGCTGACGATGCAGCTCCGCCCGGTAACAGCACAGGGCACAGCCCCGGCGCTGGGGAGCCCCGCTCGGCGCTGCCGAAGCCCCGCTCGGCCCGGGGAGCGGCTCGGGGGGCCCGCGGGGCCCGCCCTGCCCGCGGCTCCGGCCGGCCCAGGGCACGGCGGGGCCGCCTCGGCACCGCGATGTCGCTGAACTCGCCTCAGCCGCGCAGACAGCACGTCACGATCCGGCACACCCTGCAGCCGTCCGTCTGCCAGAGGCGAGCACCAGCCTCCATGAGGCAGCACCCCACGGAAGCTGAGCCCGCTCCTGGGCCGTGCGGTGCTGGGCGGGCCCCTGCGGCCGAGGGCTCCTTCATGACTGACCGTTTGTTACGATGGCCAAGCCTGAGCCATCCCCATCGAACAACAGGCACCACTCACTCCCAGCTACTGTCCAGTTGCACAGGATCGCTTCAGCTGCTGCCCGAAGCCAAGATCCAGCTCTGGGTGACCTCAGGGAGCCATTAGTGCTGCCACAGGATTTCATTCCTCACAGCCCCACATCAACGCTTCAGGATCAAAACACACTGCAGACCACACCTGGAAACTGCCTATTTGATCTTAGAGGTCTTTTCCTATGTAAACGATTCTATGGGTCTGTGAGACTGCTCTGCCTGGAATGTAGGCCTCAGCCTCCTCTGCAATAAATGAGAGTTTCCACAGAAGAAAAATCAGTCATCATCTGCTGTGTTCTGGGGTGGGGGCTTGGTTGTTTTTTATTTACGTTCACGAACCCATTGTTATCAGTTATGCATGTTTGTGACAAAGCCCTTTTCCAAAATACTGCCAGCCATGGCAGCAGAGAACACAGTCACTGTCCGATTATCACATACAAAGCTCAGGCAGATCCTAGATTGCATCCTGCAGTCTGGTTTCACAGCTCCACCTCAACATGCCACCGCATGCTTTATTGGAACAAGCTGCCTCCTCTTTCGGTGCACCGCACAATCTCACACTTGCTGATTTCACTCCTTTACTTCTAGGTTAGCTGTGCCTTTGCTGAGCAGAAATGCTGCTATTCCAAGGAAAGGAAGGGTGACAAGTCACTCCAGACAGTGACAGCAGCCATGACTGCTAACACATGGCACAGCAAGGCTGCTGAGCAGGGACTGTCATTCTCATTTTACAGATAGGAAAATAAACCCTGTCTGAAGGCAAGGACACAAACCGGCACTTTCCAAGTGACTAGATTAGCTGCTTTTGAATACCAATCATTACTAGTGTTTTCTCTCTGTTTGCCACGTTAATCCCATGGGAGCACATGTCAATGACTCTGTCTCCCCACTCTGCCCCCAAACAGCTGCAGATCTTCATCTCACCCCTTGATCAGTCACCAAACACCCTGTTACTGGACACCTTCTCCCACAAATCAATTGCGTGATTAACACCATTTTGATAAACTCAGGGTAATTCTGTACCTCACCCAGACTGAAGTCTTCTCCTGCTTCTCCAGAGGGCTTTGTGTGCCTCACAGTCACATATTACACCGGTTCCATCACCACAATCTCTCTTCATTGCCAAAAAAACTGTTTATAAAGCCCCAAAGATGCACAGATTACACAAAACCTAATGTACAGAAAAAAATTTGTGCCACTGGGCTGACATGCCTGACAGGATCCTGCTCCTGGCACAGAGCAGGGACATGCCAGGGACCTGGTACAGGTTTTGGGGCCAGCCTGCCTGAAGCAGCTGCCATGGTCAGCTACAGCATGACCCTACAGCACAGAAAATCTCTGCACTGCTGTCCTTGGCACTGGGTGCAAGGCAGCTCACCCATCTGCCAAACGCTCCACCAGAAGACTTAACCTTGGAGTGAAGACTTCTGGTGAAGATCAATGAGCAAGGGAGAGACTGAGACACGGGCTCAGACACTTCTGGCTCACACAACCCAATTCTTGCCACCACACACAAACTCAGTTTTAGTTTTGCTCTCCCATTTAGAGCAGTCTCCTTGACAAGCACATGCTGTGGTTCCTGCAATCCCACAGTAACCTTGGCTGTTAGTTCTCTATCTACACATGGATTCCAACCTATTCAGCCAGAAGCAGGAGATTTTTCCCTAGGATTTCCTAAATCTTTTAATCTGCTACCTCTGAAATCTGTAATTCTACTTTTTAAAGTTCATATTCATGAAGGGAGATTGAAGTGACCAAACTGCTGGTACCAGGGAGAGAAAAAGTCCTATTTTTCATTCTTCAGTTGCAGTTCATGGCATCTCATTTCACAGTTGCCAGCCAGGGAAAAGCTTAGAGTTAATGCAGAGATTGAAGTGACTTATAGAACATTTCACTAACAGAAAAACACCCTGCAGAAACTGGGAAGGAACAGGATTTGTCTACAGTGCTCTGCTGGGGAACCAGACAGGGACTGGTGTAATCTCAAGATTTGCCAGTATTAAGCATCACTTAATACCAGGGAGACTTGGACATGCTGGAGAGTAATGAAGAGGCACAAGGATGATGAAAGGATAGAAGCACTTGACATACAGGGAGAGGCTGGGGGAACTGGGAGCATGCTTTGACAAGAAGAGCTGGACTAAAGGATTTCTTTAAGTGCCAGCCTCAGTTGTCCTTCAGTTCTGTGAGAAACGGGGAGAATGGGATTTGTTTAGACTAGAAGGAGAAAGCTGAGTGGGCATAACAGATCCCTTTGCAGGCAGCAATCCAGGTTTCTTCTTCCCGGTACAGATCAAGGAGTAACGGGCTACTTTTGGGGAATGAAGATGTAGGCTGAGTTTCTACAGGTAGTGCTGGAGCAGATCATGGAATGACATCAGGAGCTGATTTAAAGAAGAAAGTGGGTGAAGAGCCATCAGAACAGCTGAGGTATTACCAATCCTGCTTCAGAGGGGACCTGACTTTGCACCATATTTCACTGATTTAAAAGACACCTACCCCCTCCCTCCAATCTCCTGGTCCCCCACAACCCAAACCTTCGCGCTCCAACTTTTTTTGCACCTGTAGGACTGAAATGGCTTTGTAAAAGCTCAGAAGAACAACGCATCTTTTTAGAAACACTATTCTCACTGCTTGCAACTTCCTCCGTCAGCACAGCCAAGTGGCAGGGCAGGATGACTCCACTGCCAGGTGGAGTGGCAGCACTGGGACTTTCTGCATACTAAGAGGTGAACTAACTCTACATCAGCTGGTGTAACGCATTCTTATTCACTTCTGTTACAGACCACGCTGTCCAAAGCCCCAGGTTGTCGCCAAGATGCAGATCCAAATTAACTCAAAGTAAAAATAATAAAAATCAGCCACTGTTTTACAATTCAAATTCATATGAAGAAGCAAAATTGGATCAACCCAGATTCACAACCAGATCTTGTATACAAACAGATCAAGTTTGTTCAGTCTTGGATTTATGCCACTTTCAGCAGTTTTCTAGTTTTCTCATGCTCTTGCTGGACCCAGGGGTGCAATATTTCTCACCTGCTACAATCACAAACATACTGTGGTGTTCCCCTTGTATTTCTGCTCTGTCCCCATGGGTACAGGGGTAGATACAGTGTTTGGAACAGCCCTACCTGCTGCCAGGGCTTCGCCTCACAGCTGTCTCTGGGGTTTATAGCACTGCCAGGCCACAACTGTTCCACCTGCATTTGCCATGCCAAGAGTCTGTCTCAAATGGAAGTATTTAGATTTGTGAAAAACAAATCAGGTAGTTTCAAGAACAGGGAACAAGACAGTGCTTTATTTAGAAAAATATTAACCACTGCAGCCTCAGCAGAGGGTTTGGCAGACGAGGAACCAGCAAGCCACAGAGAAACAAAACCCAGAGAGCAAGTACTGCAGAACAACTGTACTGCACACACAATGCAAGCTCTGCCCCAAGGAATTATGCCAGAACAAGGTTAATTATTTCCATTGGACTAATACTTTCCATTTAATTTATTTTTATAAATCAATCTGCATAATGTACACTGGCATCCTTTATGTTTCAGTTTTGCTTACAGTAATAAAACTAACTCTGCAAATCATCCCTGGCTACGTTATTTTTATATCCAAGAGCACCAAATGATAAAAGCTTGGCAGCATAGATCTAAGAGAGAGAAAAAGCATTCATTCTACTTCCCAAACATAGCATAACAAGACCATGCTCCACAGCCTGATTTTAAAGCAGTAGGATGAAAATGACTCAGCCTACGTTAAAATTAGAGGTATGATGAGATTGAGACTGCAAGAGAAGGACTGAATTAAATGCATTTTTACTTGACTCAAATAGGCTTTTTTTTATTAGTGCCTGGTAAAGGAAATACTAGCAACTTTAAAAGTCTGAAACAGTCAAACCAACAAGGTGTTTCATGAAGCTGTGAGTGCCACTGCCATCGTCAGTGCTGCAGGAAAGCCGGTGATGACAGAGCACAGGAGCTGCACGGGGCAGACACGGCGGGTCTGGCTCCCTGTGACACTGTGGGCAGGCACCCCCAGCCTGCAGTGCTGGCACAGGGGACGAGGCAAGGCCCGGATAAAAGGGGAAGTGGCAGCACAGTGCCACACATGTGCCCGCCGGCAGGACACCCAGAGCTCCTGCCGAGAGCCTCTGCAGCCGCCTTTGGCTCCTCCAGCCCGTTCACTGGGACGTGCAGGGTGGTTTCCCCAAGCCCCTCTTCCTCTCCCCCTCTTCCTCCCAGCCACAGACCCGGCCCCACTCCCAGCACAGCGGGGAGAGCCCGAGGGCACCAGCATGACCAACCAAAGCCTTCCTCAAGTCAAACAGCCAGGAGGCACCTGGCTCAGAGCCACCCAGACACGGTTTTCTGTATCTTCTAGTGCTCAGAGACAGACACACCATATTTCTGAAGCCTCTTATAATGAATACTTACTCAATCTCACCCCATATATATATATATATATACACACACACAGATACTTTTAACATATGTAAAGAAATTTAAAAAACCCCAACATTTTTAATGTTAGATAAAAAAAAGCATTAACTGGAAGAGTTCACTAGTCCAAATGACCAAATCAAGACATTCCCCTTCCCCTCCTCCCAGATATACTACTTACAGCCAGCAGGAATGTGTCACAGCTCAGCATTCCGGCCCACTGCCTCCCCAGGCTTTTCCTTTCTCCTGCAGGAAATCCTCCAGCTGGCCTTGCTTTGTTCTGGAGCATATTTTAAATTCAGCTTCTTTGCATCAATTGAATTCAGGTGCAGCAGGGGCTTGGTACCTGCACGTGGGTGTTGTTCCTGATGAGATTTCCTTACTTTCAATTTCCTTACGAGCAAATTAGAAGCAAACAAAAGAAGAGAATAATTCTTTCAGTGACTTTCTGCCTTTCTGCAATACACATACACATTCTCAAAGAAATGTGAGAAACCAACTGCCACTGAAGGACTCTGAATCTCCCAACATGGATTAACCAAGTCCTGCCTAAGTTCATGCTGAATGGTTTGCTCAAATAAGTGTTGCAGATTTCTCCTTAACCAGAGAATTTTTGATTTCCCCAAACCTTTCTGTTTAGAAGCAAAATTATCTACAGTTGGTTGTCATAAGACACCATGGGCCAAAGGTTGCTCTGGACATGGATTCTTGGAGACTTGCACAAATGCATATTGTGTGTCTCTCAAGTTTTCTTGGGGAAGGGCCATGCCCACAATGGGCACTAGGAATTGAGGCGTAAGGGCTGAATTCTGAGGGCAGAACCCCTTGGAGTCTGTTCCTCCAGACAGCTCTGGCTGTGATGCAGCAGCACGGGGACAGAAGGAGGCATGGATTATAGGTGAGCAGGAAAACCAAACCCTCAGTTTGGCTGCAGGTGGAGCTGGAGGGCATGCATCACTCTTGTTTCAGAAGCAGCACCCTTAGCCTGGGGCTAAAAGAAACAAAATAGGGAGTAAGGTAGGTCACTTGCCAGGCAGACCATCTTCTGTTGGGTTTTGTTTGGTTTGGTTTGTTTGTTTTGTTTTGTTTGTTGTGGGTTTTTTGATGCTTAACAGCTATTACCACTAAATAGCAGAACCTGTGACAACATAATTGCTTTGCTCTGAGAACATGAGCAGCACTTTCACCAAACAAGAATGGACTTGTTGGGTTGTTTTAATTCTTGGCATAGCTGGGCATGTCTTATCTCCAGCTCAAAAAAATGGAAATGCATAATGAAGACAGCCAGTTGTCTTGTAGGTAACTGTACACAATTCCCACCACAGGACAGCATTGTTGGCAAGACATGGTATCAGTATAGGGAAACCTAATACTGCCAGCTGAATAGATGTCACATTTCTTTCTGCAAAATGTTATGTCTGCTAGTACTAGAAATAGCACAGCTGAGTGATAAAATTTAAAAAAATGTGAAAAATATTTTCTCTATTTTCAAGTCCGTTTGCCTTGTGAATATGACAGCATTTTGTTTTGTCAGTCGTGTTTTATGCACACAAGGCCAGAACTTCTCCAACCCCTACACCCATGTTCTCATCAACAGCAGCAGAGCTTAAACAGATTCTGCAGCAGCTCATATAGGACCAAGAAAGCAGGCTTGTTGGGTGCTTTTATCTAAAAAGAAATAGGAATAAAATAACCTTATACAAGAATATTGCCCTTAAAACACTGAAACATGCTCTTTAATGTCTGCTGGCTGAGGCCTGGTCCTACAGAGACTGAAAGGATTTCACGTTGCCAGAACCTGCCTTCCATGAATAGGCACTGATTTCATGTACTACTTTAGGATCAGGTCTTAGAGGACACTATTTTTAACTACATGAAGAACAAGCATGTCTAAAACACCTTAAACCCTCCAGGTTTAAGGCTATATATATTTTAAAGCCATTCTAATATGTGCATAATTAATGTGAATATTACTCAGCAAAGGGTAAACAGCAAGTGTTGCAGTAACTCTAATGTCACTAATTTCATTACTCTATCAAAATATGCTACTGTAATTGAACTAGTACATTATGAAGTGTTATAAATAATTAAAACTAAAACTGCAACTGACAAAATGAATGAAGCAAGAACATTCTGTAACCCGGTGTTCCTACCCAACTTCATAATTTTCTAAGTCGAGTAAAACACTATATCTGAGTCTGTCTGAGCACAGAAAGGATTTGTTCATATCATTCACTAATTTGGAAAGAACCTTGGTTGGAAAAAAGTTGAAACATGTTAAAACCAGCACACTATGAAAGAACATCAGTACAAACGCCACACAACATAAACTGCTCCTTTGTCACCCTTCCCAGGTACCCAGGTGAAGCCAAAGAGAGCATGTCACAGCAGTGGGGACAACCCAGGCCAAGCTGCTGCTGACATTGGGACATCAAGTCCTAAGAAGGAACACATCCTACCTGGTCTCAGAGGATGGGGAAAGAGATGGGCTTCTCCAGTCATCCCAGCTGACACAGCTCCATGCTCAAGGAGGTGAGCAGGAAGGAACTGTCTCACCAGCCAGGCTCTCCCACAGCAATATCTGCTGTACTGCACCATGGGCAAGGCTGGATGCTGAGTGCAAGGCAGAGGCAGGAGAAGTAGGTTCTACTTTGGCATGTGAAGTTAGAGCAGTTCCGCTTTTGAGATCTAGAGATGGGAAGAGACAGGTGAACAGCATATGAGTGATATAACTGTTTCTTTTAGAGAGATTTTTAAAGCAGACCAAAGGTGCTTTTATGCAACTTGTTAAACTCTGCTGCTCCATTCCTTCAATCAATAGCAAGTGTCAAATTATTTTTGCAGAAATTTTCTGCTTTGTTTAGCTTTTTAATTTTCATTCTTCGGTTTCACTGAAACAAAAGGCCTCTTTTTTTAGACAGACATAAAAGGGGCCGACAACTTCTGCTGCTTCATTATCTCCAGGTGAATTCCATATTCTGCTCCTTCACTCCTCTTGGCTTCCTGCTCTGTCTTCTCTGAAGTACCACAGAGTTTTCCACCTTCGTTTTTTTTTTTTTAATTTTTAATTTGTTGGTGTTTGCTTGCAGGACAAAAAGCTTTATCAATTAATCTACTGTTTATGCTGCCTGAGCTAGCCCTGACGTTCACTGTAATGGAGCACCATCCCTGCCAGTGAGCCAGGGGCCAGACCCTGTGCACCCTGCAGGCACAGCCCTGGCCCCCTCCAGCAGCAGGTGGGATGCTGACAGGGGGTAGCCCCAGGATGAGCTCTCAGGGAGAAATACCCATGGGGAGAGAGCTCTGACCTTGCTTCTGCAGACTGCAGGAAGGGGGTTCCTACATCTCTGTAGCCCACCACAGCACAGAAGGGTCCTTAGTGGCACTGGCTTAGGTGGGTCCATGGGCACTCCTGGGCTGCTGGCTGGCTGCTGGGCTGCATCCACCTCCCACTAGTGGGAAAGAGGGCAGGCAGAAGGGAAAAGCCTCACCTATCTGCATAAGCCTGAGTTGTGCAATTACACTGCAAATCACTGCAAATCCTCCTGCTCCACAGTGTAAGGGAGTTCCCCCTGGCAGAGCTGGGGCAGGCACAGCAGGTGAGAACAGCCCAGGGGAGAAGCTCATCCGGAACTGCCCTCTGACAGCAAGAGAAAGGATCCTCCATCCATCTGTCCTGCCCACGCTGGCTATGGCAACCTCTGCGGGAAGCCAAGCAGGGGACTGGCAGCCTGTTCTAGCACAGACAGCCCACAGGCCACCCCAGGGGGGCTCGGGACTGTATGAGGAGCTTTGTCAGGCACTGAGCAATGCTGGAAAGAACAGGATGCTCCTGCAGGGATGCACTTCTCTGGGAGATCTCCACTTCTGGACAAAGTCATGTAGCTGAGAGCAGAAGCCTGTAATACCACCCTGCCATGGATGAGGACACCAGGGGGGTGTCTGGGTATAAGCAAGGACATTTATAATTCTCACTTTTTTACAATAAAGACGGATTAATCCTGTCCTTGCTAATCTGCCATGACAGAACAGCTGACATAAAACTCCTCCAAGCTGAAATGGGTGTTTACATCTGCAGGAGCCAGAGGTCGTTCAGCACAGAGTTAACTCCCACAGACCAACTATTTCCTTCTTTTTTTTAATAACCATTCCTTTAAGCAAGTGTCTCCTGGTATTTTAAAAATTCACTTTAATCAATTTAAAATTAATAAGGAAGGAGCAAAATCCTTAGGGCCTGAAAGCTCCAATCTCTGCCACGCTGGAAGTGATGAGTCAGCTCCGGCACGGCCGCCATGCAGCGGCTGAGGGCCGCCCGCCAGAGCTGAATTAGGTCACCCGGTTTGCTGTTCACGGAGCGGTGGCTGTCCCTGCCTTTGGATGGTTCCCTCTTTCTGAGGAGAGCTGCGGCGCTCTGAGGCACTGCTGGGGCACCTCACTACTGCTGCTGCTGCTGCTGCTGCCATGGCTCCATCCTGTGTGTTTATCGGGCAGGAGCACAATGGAGCCTCTCCGAGAGGAGGGAAAGGACAGTGGCAGCAGGACACAGCACACACAGGGCCCTGTCCCTCTCCCACAGGGCATCGCCTCGGACTCCTGCCTTGGTCACTAACCCATGCTCTGCTTGGGCCAGGAACAGGAACCAGCAGTGTCCACAGCCAGTCCTCCAGCTCCTGCCTCCACCCAAACCACAGCTCATGCCCAGGCTCAGCTCTGCTCACTTCCCAAGGGAACATGTGCTCCCAGGGTGTCAGAGCAGAGCCTCTGTGCTCCCTCACTAATTACCTGTTTCTAATTGCGGTGCCACAGTCCCAACAGGCAGCTCCTATGGCAGCTCCCCAGGGGGATTAACACTGAGCCTTCGCTTTGTACACTGATGCAGCGTGTGAAGAAAAGCAGTTCCCACCTCGTGTGCCCAGAGCACGTGAGCCATGCCAGTGGGTTACCTGTTTGTCTGCGGGTCACCATGGTACTGGGATGCCAGCACCCAGTAGGGCCAGCCTGGGCAGCAGTGGGAGGCTGCATTCGTGGGCTGTAGGCAAGAAGAAACGTGCTGCCCCTCTCCCTGCACCCAGGTGCTGCTGGACAAGGGGGTTGAGGAGCTCTTACAGCACTCTTGTGGAATGAAAATTCCTGGTCTGCAGCAGGGGAGCAGGAGCAGGACCATCAGAAGGGCAGAAGCCCCTGTAGCCCACAACATCCCTGCGCTCAGCTGTCTGCCTGCTGACCAGGTTTGGGTTCCCCAGCACACCCTTCCCTGGGAGCCCTAAGGAAGGGCACTGGGACCCCCGACACCAAGGGTCGTCACAAAAGATGCACAGTGTCACTGCTGTTCCCCTGGCTGGGAGAAGGGGACAGGAAGGCTGTGTGCAGCCCTCTTGGGCACAGCCAAGCTCTGCTGGAAGCAGGAAGGCTGCCCATCAGCTGGAAACACAGGTCTGAATCACCACCAGCTTGCAGCACTTATTTGAACACATCGGTGACCCGCAACAGCCACGTGACCTCTGCATCCCTGCCCAGCTCCACTCTAGGGTGGGAAAGCACAGATGTCAGCTCAGCTCAGCTCCCCTTGCTGTGGCAGCTGCCCGAGCCCTCCTCTCACACTGCTCCTCGTTATTCCTCCCCAGTGCTGCAGCACCAAGAGATGTCCCCTCGGTGGAGGGGAACAGGCAGGGCTTGGCCGGCTGTGCCGAGGGCACAGCACAAAGAGCTGCTTGCGCTCTCCTGGGACCAGTTTCACTTCCCATACAAGCAGTGGCTCCAACTAAAAGGTGCCTCAAGTAATTACCTGAATGCTCTTTGGCTAGAGCTTGTAAAGGAGCTTATACATATTAAACAAGAAAGAAAGATCTGTCTATAACTTGTTCTTTACTAACAAACAAAACTGGACTGAATCCATTCTAAAGCAAATTTTACAAGGACCTTATGCCGAAATTATTCAGTAGAAATAACTGAACAAAACCCAGGGCATTTGAGAGGGGCTCAGCCAAAAAGCAAGGTCTGTGGTTGGTTGGTTTGGTTTTTTAAGAAACTTTTTTGGCATTAACGTGACAGAGCAGTAAAGATTTAGCAATAGCACTGCATTAGCTCCATGAAACACACTAAACAACTGCTCCCTTAACTAGCTCAGCTGCTGGAGCCAGTGTTAAGTCACCACTATCAGATCTGAAAGCAGAAGGGAATTCCTCACTAATGCACTGAAGGACCTTCTCTGTGACAAGGGCCTGTACAATGCCAGGTGCTGGGACTGCAGCCACTGCATCCTGATACGTGTGTGCCCACACAGCCTGCTGCTCCTTCAGGACAGGTAACCCTTGGTGGCAAAGTGAAATAACGCTACTCTATGAATTGCTAAGTTTTCACTTGCAACAGGTAAAACAGCCCATGTTCTACAATCGAGGTAATCATGGCAACATGGAGCTCTTCTAGACAGAAATACAACAGCTGCTCAGCATCAGATGCTCTACTGTATTTGGAATATATTGCAATAGCAGGCAGGTAATACTGCTGTGGAGTCTGTGAAAAATGGCAGGGAAAGGAAATATAGGGAAAATGTTGTAATTATTTAAATGGGTTTGTTTTAATACCAGCAGAAAAAAAGCTTGCCTGAGCAAACCAGTTTTTATTAGCCTGTTATCTTTAGAAATAGCCTTTAAAGTATGAAATTGCTGCTGCTCTACTGTCCCTCTGCCCTGAATCTGGCAATATTCACGTGGGAGCAGGCAAAACCAGCCAGAGGCACTGGGACCCTTGGGAGGCCAGTGGAGGGAGAGCTCACCAGCTCCCATCCCACACTACCCAGCCAAGAAAACCCAAAGGGGACCCCCACAGCAAGTGCCTGAAGCCTGGCGATGTGATTGCTACAACCCTGCCCCTCAGTACAGCAGCCAAACACCCCTCGTTTGCCCAGGAAACAGGTAAAAGCAGCCACATTGTTCTGCTAAGGAGAAGAAGGCCTGGTGCAGTGACTTGCCCCAGCTGGGAGCTGGCTGCCTGCAAAAGGTTGGGTTGGGAGTTACCAACAGCACAGGCTTTCCATGCTCCTGGCAGGTTGTCCCATGCCAGCCATTCTGGAACCAGCTCAAGCACAGCTCTGTGACCCGGGAGGACATACAGAGAAGAGCCATCGGAGGCCAGAAGACCAGGGCAGCTTTCGAGTCCAATTCCTGCTCTGGCAAATATCCTCTTCCTCACAACAGCCTGCAGAAGGGTCCAGCCACCTCAGAACTCAGAGCTCCAGCATTCCTGCTCACCGGCTGCTGTGCCCCAAGTGTCTGCATTTCTGAAACTACAGTCTCCAGAGACCCAGAAAAGGATCTGAACACACTGGGAAGTACGTCAGTCCCACCACTGCAGGGCAGCCCAGTGCCTATGTCCTGCCTAAGCCTCTCTTGTTCAACGAGTGGTTTTGTCTCTCCCAGAGAGGAGCAGTGTGACAAAATTACTGCCTGCTTACCTATTAATATTCACCTGTGGTAGAGACCAAAGATTTTGGTTCGCACCCTTATTTGCTCACTGAAGAGAAATCAAGATGAACCAAAATGGTTGAACATGTTTCTTTTTTAAATTAATAAATGGGTTTTTTTTAATGACAGAAATTGAAGCCCTACTTCTCTGGAAGGCTGCATGGTGACAGAGCCAGTGCAATGGTAAATGACAGAATCAGCCTGTAAAGTTTGGGTGTGAGATTTCAAAGACCTTCCTCTTATGTCCCAGAGTTAGCATCACAGGCATTCCTGAGATAAATAACAGAATTATTTAAAGAAACAAGCAAAGCTTTCTTTATCTGTCAAAAAGCAGGTAAGAAGAGAACACAATGACAATTTCTCCGCAGGTCATGTCTAACAGCACCCCACAAATGCTGCCTGTCATGCTGAGGCTTCTCGGGCACCCCACCTGTCCCTGTCCTCCCACTGGTCAGCACAAAGCCTCTGCAAAGACAGGCCTGGAAGAAGACTCAAATTCAAGGTCAGACTTTGTAGAGAAGCAACAAACAGTATTCAGTGCTTTAATGACAAAATCTCTTACAAGTGTCACCATTTTGGTTCCCAACTTCTGTTTCTTTTCTTACTACTACTTCAGTGCCTGGACAAGGGGTTTAACTGAACCAGTCTCTTGCTGATAAGAACATGGGCACACAAGAATAAAACTAAATCTACTTCCAGTTACTTCTGTGGAAGGCAGAGATGGTCTCAAATTTCTGATACGTGCATGTGGCCTGCGAGATACGGTGCTTGCTAAATGAAAAGTATCAAACACTGCGTTTTCAAAGCTTTTTTTTCTGATTTCTTTCCATTTGTTCAATATTTCTAAGGGTAACACACGGAGGGAAAATGAAGTGACCGACAACAGATGATTCTGAATTGTTGGCTTTGGTAGCACAAAGGGAAAATGCAAATGAATTCTTGCAAGAACACAGCAAACAGAAGTGGTGGTCACCCACATGCATCCTGAAATATAACCAGGTACTTTGTTCAGAAATGGCATTACCTCTATTCTGCCCAGCCTAGGCATTAGCTTTAATATGCAGCACATTTCCAGCATATCTAAGTTACAGCAATTTCTGCCATGGGCCTCAGAGTACATTAAAGGGTGCTAGTGATTATAAAGCATGTACTAGATCAAGGAGATTCTCCTGCAATATTTTAATTTTCATTTAAATTAAATTTACATTATAATTTACACCACTCTGCTAACAAACAGGGAAAGAGGCACTGTAAGTGTAGCAGCAGGCATGCATATCTTCATTTATTCTTCCCTATTTTTAACTTGTGGTTAAACTTGACGACTTCCAAGTGCAAGTAGATTGAAGCTCCATCTAGTGCCAGGGGCCAGGAAGTTACTGAGAGATTTGCACTCCAAAAATAGCAAACATGCTCACAAAACTATGGAGGAGCAGCAGACAGCCTGGAATCCCAGAGCTGTCCCACGCAGTCGAGAACGCTGTGGAAATGCTGTTACAGTGTATAAGGGCTTCATGTTAAAGCTGCTGTACCTTGGGCCAAGCAGAGCCTGGACTGGGGCACAGCCCCCAGAACACCTCTGCCATGGTGAGAGGGATCCCCATGCCCTTGTTCCCCACCACTCTCCATCACCAACATGCCCTGCACGGCTCCTTGCTGTGCATGCAGGGAACTGGGCACTCCTGCATGCCCATTCCCCCAAAGCCAGGCTAGCAATGGCTCTGAAATGCCCTTGTTAAATACACAGCTTGAGCACCTGCCAGTGGGTCACCACTATCTCTTCCACAGACACCTCCTATTAGCACAGAAAATGGGTGTGTAGTGCCAACACACAAAAAAGTCTAGCTGGTGCTAATGGTCCCTTCCTCTCTTTTTCTGCATTATTTTTTTGCAATGGCAACTGCTAGAACTGTACCTGTTTCTAGTTCTGTAACCAAACCATGCTGCATGTCCCAACTATTTCATGCATGCCACTCTAACCCAGGACAAGAAGGTTTGTTTAGCAGAGGACAGTTGTTCTGATTGTTCAGTCAAAGCAGTAACATGTTGGATTTTTTTTTTTACATACTGAAGTCTTGTATTTTCATTTAAGAAAAGTGATCCTCATTATGTATTTTACATTTGAGCTTCAAAGAAAACTGAGATGGGAGAAATCCTTTCACTCTCATTGTTAAATGTAACACACCCGAGTTACAAGGTTTTCAAAAGCAGTATTCCACTTGGGCAGAGTACAGACAAGCTGTAGTAGATGCATCTGTCCCATGTTTGTCTTCACATAACCCGAGTATGCACGGGGAACACCAGCACTGGAAACACGGGGGACCAAAGAGCAGCTGTGAGCAGCTGTGGGCGCTCCAGCAGCACTGCTGCAGGAGGGTGTTGGGAATACAGTCAGGTGAGGACGGTGAGTTACACAGCAGATGACTGGATTCTTCTCCCTCACAGTACCAGCACCACGAGTCTGCTCCCAACTGTGTAAAGGCTGAGCAAAAACCCAGTGTGTGCTCAGGAACAGCAGCCAGCCCAAGATCCAGACACTTCCTCCACCGGCACTCAGTGTGCTCACAGCAGCAGTGCTGGGGACAGCCCATCCGTGGGCAGGGCACCAGCAAGACCAAGACCTCTGGAAGCCCCCTCAGGTCTCTGGGAATGCCAGGTGAGCGTGGTGCTGGAGGAGCTGCCCCAGCTGCCCAGGCCTTGGCAGCAGCTCTGCCCACCACAGCTGCCCACACCTTCACCCTCCACAGTGAACAGTTGGGTCGGGACATGGAATGACTTGTTGTCTGTAGAGAGGGGCTTTGAAAGAGAACATTCTAAATGAAACCACACCATTTTCAGGCTGCTTTCCCCTTTACACTTCTTCCACTTCCATTTATACATTCCATTATATTCTTAATGCTTCCTTTCACCCATACCAGAGTGGCCGCTACAGTTGATGGTATTAGACTTTCAGACTGAATACATGTCTTCTAAGCGCATAATTCATGTATTTTAAAATATTTCTTTCATCATCTTTTGTGATTATGTAGACAACTTTGAGCAGAATAATGTTCATATGCTTTGTTTCTCAAAAACGTGATATTTGTTTGACTGGATGCAATTGAGAGAAAAGCACTACAGCTATGGCAGAAGTAATTCTGTCAGTGCTGAAACCATGTAGCACTTCAACTATCAAAAATTCACATCAAAATATTCTAAATATTAAAAATAGACTGGTGCTTCTTTGACGAGCTAACAGCAGGTGAGTTGACTGCTGTTCAGAGTTCGGATCAAGTTTTTTGTGGCTAAAGAAAAATTTAGTATCAAATAAAAAAAATTGCAAAAAAAAAGAAAACCTTTAGCCATTTCTGCTTCATTCAAACAATGATATTAATTTGTAATTTTATAGAGCATTATAAGGTTATAACTGTATCATTTCTCTGAGAAAATATGTTTTTAGAACATATTATTTTAGACATACATTTAGACATACATTTAGAACATATTCAGAATTATTATTAAATGCTTTTGCAGACAATTAATGTTTTGGGTAGAAATTGTGTATCACAGATAAATTTATGTATCTGTGATCCAAAAATCCTGTGGATTTTTAACAAGTAACAAGCACTAACAGCAAAATTATTTGTGATCAGAGGACGAAGTAGCACCCAAACAAACATATTTGCAGCTCTGTCAGTGAAAGCAAGCTGAATGAAGGAAATAACGCCCTGAACAAAGCTCCGGAGCTCCCCGGCTGAACCACGTGGGCGACGGAAGGCGCAGCGGAAAGCTGTGCAGAAACAATCCCCTACAGACTGGGGACACAGACACAGCCCGGGCTGGGAGCGCGGCCCCCGCGGGACGGGTCCCCTGGCCCTGCTGTGCCCCACGGCTGTGCCCCACAGCGCAGCCTGGCCCTGCTCTGCCCCACGGCTGTGCCCCACAGCACAGCCTGGCCCTGCTCTGCCCCACGGCTGTGCCCCACAGCGCAGCCTGGCCCTGCTCTGCCCCACGGCTGTGCCCCACAGCGCAGCCTGGCCCTGCTGTGCCCCACAGCTGTGCCCCACAGCACAGCCTGGCCCTGCTCTGCCCCACAGCACAGCCTGGCCCTGCTCTGCCCCACAGCGCAGCCTGGCCCTGCTCTGCCCCACAGCTCTGCCCCACAGCGCAGCCTGGCCCTGCTCTGCCCCACAGCTCTGCCCCACAGCGCAGCCTGGCCCTGCTCTGCCCCACAGCACAGCCTGGCCCTGCTCTGCCCCACAGCTCTGCCCCACAGCACAGCCTGGCCCTGCTCTGCCCCACAGCACAGCCTGGCCCTGCTGTGCCCCACAGCTCTGCCCCACAGCACAGCCTGGCCCTGCTCTGCCCCACAGCACAGCCTGGCCCTGCTCTGCCCCACAGCTCTGCCCCACAGCGCAGCCTGGCCCTGCTGTGCCCCACGGCTGTGCCCCACAGCACAGCCTGGCCCTGCTCTGCCCCACAGCACAGCCTGGCCCTGCTCTGCCCCACAGCACAGCCTGGCCCTGCTCTGCCCCACAGCTCTGCCCCACAGCGCAGCCTGGCCCTGCTGTGCCCCACGGCTGTGCCCCACAGCACAGCCTGGCCCTGCTCTGCCCCACAGCACAGCCTGGCCCTGCTCTGCCCCACAGCTCTGCCCCACAGCACAGCCTGGCCCTGCTGTGCCCCACGGCTGTGCCCCACAGCGCAGCCTGGCCCTGCTGTGCCCCACAGCACAACACACAGGAGCTAAAGGCTGGGGTTCTTTTCTTAATGCCTGCTCGCACAGGGCAAAAAGTCAGATCACCTATTAAATAGGTAAAATTGTATACACCACTAACTGTAAGAGAGAAAAAACCCAAGCAGATGAAGCCTGAGCAAAGTTAAATGTTCCCTTTCATCTCCCATCATTTCTTGCTGTGGTCAGTGAATTGCACAGAGATCACAGGTTCAGACTTCACACCACAATAAGATTGTTACCTGTGTTACTGCACTGCACAAACATCTGCAGAAAAATGATTGTGCCAAGATCCTGCGCTTGCTCTGCTCCATTTTCCACCTTTCTGCTTTCTCTCCCTCTAACTTTGTGCTTCTCCAACCCTCTTACTGCATTTCTTAGCCTCAGTTTTGGCTTTTCAGATTAACTTCCACACAACCTTTCACCCACTGCAACAGTCAGTTCCCAAAGGCATGTGATGAGTCACCACGAGCTTGGGCAAAAAAATGTAAAGACTTTGGATTGATGATGCTTCCACCTTCCTTACACTGGGTCAAGCTATCTACAAACTTACTGAATTTCGCAGTACATACCCTTGTTTCATAACTGAAAAGTTAACAGTTACCTATTTGGGTTCTGTTTGGTTGATTGAAAGCAAAACAAAATGCTGCAGGATCTAAGCACATGAAGGAGCCTGACTATTTGGTAACTGTGAAAGCATAGAAAGCTGGGTCATATGGGCCTAATTCTGCACTTCTCACTCCTATAGGGACACACATCAAAGACACCATTATGAACCAGAGATTACCTGTCCAAGTAAGAATTTACATCTAATGTACTTTAATTTCTAGGATTAATGTTTATTTTTTGTTGGCCACCAGCAAAAATTTACCTTAGAATTCCTAAAGCTGAACAAAGTTCCATGACTTCAGACATCTTTTTTAATGCTTTGGCCAGTCTGTAAACAACATCCACAAAGAATTGTCCTTCCTCATATTTTAAGTACTTCTGGAAGCCACTGAAATGGAAGCAACTTCATACCCTTATCTGACATAGCCATATCCCTACACTTGTACCTGATTTTCAGAGTTACATTTTAGGTTTGTTCTGTTTGAACTTGATTGCCAAATAGGGGATAAGGAAGGGAAACTCCTCAGAACTGCTTACAAAACTGATCCTTAGATTTTGCTGAGCTCTCTGTATCGACCATACCAGGCCAAACTCCTCTACAGAGACAAAACTCTCATCCACACATGGAGTTACAACACTGTTCCAAACGATGCAAGACACATCAGAAAAGCATCTTTTTTTCAGAACTTTCTGGATGGTTTAAGCACTGCTGTACAGGGCTCTCTGCAGTGCAGCCACAGCTATGCTGGCATGGGACAGGACCTTCTTCATGCACAGGTGTAGCTGTGCAACAGAACTCTGCACTAAGGTCTTAATGATTGCTTCATTTTCTATTACTGTATTTTTTAAACCTAGCTTCAAGTTTTCCACTCATTAATATGTCATTCTTACATTTTGTTTCTAGCTAACACTCATCCCAGCCTTTGGTGGCTTCCTGGGTTTTCAGCCAAGTCCCTCAGGTAGCCGTGGAAGGACCTCGCGCAGCTCGTCCCTTACAAGGCTGACACAGACTGCTCCCAGCTCTCACCAGCTGACTTGTAGCACTTGTAAATCACTGTTCTCCTCTGCACTTCCGAAAGCACTTGTGGTGAAGAGAAAGACCGCCACAGGAACCCAGCCTGGTCAGGAGGTGAAGTCACCAGAGCAGCGCCCACACGGGCACCAGCCGCCGGCGCCGGAGCCGCAGCGCGCGAGCCCCGGTTCGGGAAGTTGAACTCCACAGAGAAGCCCTGCTGCATCCTGCTGCTGGTTGCTTGCCCTCCTGTCTGTACAGAAATGCTGGTTGCAGTTATCTGCTAACGATGAAAAACATGATGAGCTTCGTGAAAAACAGGCAGAATCTAGGACTTCATAACAGTTGGACTCAGAGGTCTTTCCCAACCTAAACGATTCTATTGTAAGTAATCCTGCCTTTGGCTGTCTCACCATTCTGAGCACAGCAGCAGCTCTGGTAGTCACAAGGCTTGACAGAAAACCCCAAGTTACATTATTAACAAAATATAGCCCTCCTTCAAATTTTTGGCCAATTTCAACTTTTCTCTTACCAAGATAAAAACAGTGAAGTTTCTCACAAAGCTGTGAGAATATACAGCTTTGTGAGTTCACTCTGGCTAAGCACAGATGGAACTTTAAAATTCTTTCAAACGATGATTTTTCTTATATGTGATCCAACATCAATTTCAGACAAAGTTCTGATCCAAAGGAAAAAGACCAGTGATTGTTACAAGCTGCACAAAAACCACTAATTAAATTCCAGAAAGAACAACTACCAGGCAAAATGTAGGAAGATATTAAAATGCAAGAAATCACTATTTCACAACTATTTTTCATACAGCTATATCTTACTATATATATATATATATATAAATCCTTCACTTAACAAATGCCTCCAATTCCAATTAAGTCTCACAACAAAATCCCAAAACCCTGGAGGTCCCTGCTCTTACAATCTTTAACATACAGAGCACACCCTCATTTTCTTAAATCCAACAGACTCAAAGGTGGTGCTGCAGTAGTGTGTATACAAATAGTATTATAATGATTGTATAACATAAAGCACAACCAAATGAGGCACCTAAGAGTGAAAATAGAATTAAAGGATCATAATTTTCAGAAGCAGCACTGGTGACTGCTGAATCTGCAAATTATACAAGCTACCTGGTAGCTTCATAGCATTAAATAACAGTAACCCAATTTAGACTTCACTTCCTAAATACATTACTAGAGTTATTTCACGAATAACACGACTAGAAGCTGAGCTACCAAAGCAGGTGGCAAATCCTCTACTCTCATCCTTCCATTTATGTTCAAAAGATCCCAGACTTCCATGATCACCTGGTCTGTGCAGCTCTTACAAAAGGTGCTATTCCCTGTGAGGCAGCACCAGTATTACCTGACCCATTCTGCACTCTCGTGAAACGTTTGCTCTGTCAAAGAGGCGAGACACTGAACCACCACACATCACCCTAGGGAGGCTCTGGAATGCCAGGATTCCAGGAAAGCAGCAGCTTTTCCCCATGTGTCCATGGGGTCTCTGTCTCCCATGAGGCAGGACTGGATGTGGGCTCAGGAAGGCACAGCTGCTCCTCCTGGGGCAGAAGGGGTGGATGAATGTCTCAGAGGGTGGAGGAATGCAGGAAGGCGAGATCTCTCCAGGCAAGAGGGGTGTAGCCTTGGGATAAAGTCTTGGAAACCCCCAGGTTCTGGTGTGAGATACCTGCAGGCTGGTACCAAGCCGCCTGCCATCCATGTGAAACCCCCCTCTCATCAGTCAAGGATAATGATGTTAGCATAGCAAACAAGCAGCTCCTAAATCCCCAAGGCCTGCCCCTGGGTGATGAGATGTCTGCCTCTATAGTCACTAAATCCACTTACTAAAGTGACACAATTTGGAATCCTTACTGCAGCTTGGAAAAAAAACAACAAAAAAATCAAACACATTTTGGTTGAACTCTAAAACTAATGGGCTCATCAGCCTCACATTCATTTCAGATGGATGCATTCCATTCTGGGCCAGCAATGGTGT